AACACTAACCCTCCCTGTAACCCCAACACTAACCCTCCTGTTACCCAACACTAACCCTCCCTGTAAACCCCAACACTGACCCTCCCTGTAACCCCAACACTAACCCTCCCTGTAACCCCAACACTAACCCTCCCTGTAACCCCAACACTAACCCTCCCTTAAACCACCACTAGCCCTCCTGTACCCCCAACACTGACCCTCCCTGTAACCCCAACACTGACCCTCCCTGTAACCCCAACACTGACCCTCCCTGTACCCCCGACACTGACCCTCCCTGTAACAACTAACCCTCCCTGTAACCCCAACACTGACCCACCCTGCAACCTCAACACTAACCCTCCCTGCAACCTCAACACTAACCCTCCCTGTAACCCCCACACTGACCCTCCCTGTAACCCCAACACTAACCCTCCCTGTAACCCCAACACTAACCCACCTGTAACCCCAACACTAACCCTCCCTGTAACCCCAACACTAACCCACCTGTAACCCCAACACTAACCCTCCCTGTAACCCCAACACTGACCCTCCCTGCAACCCCAACACTAACCCTCCCTGTAACCCAACCTCTGTACCCCTTGCACTTCCCCCCAGTTGATGTTTCCATAGATTCCAGTTGGGGGGTTCGGGTATATTTTGTTTCATGGAATCCTGTGTGGCGCTCGTCCTGCCTGTGGATAGGGATCAGCGGGGCTCATACATTGTGAGCGGTGTGACATCGGGTGAATGTACACAGAGGAACACAATACAATCACTGATGAGAACAAGCTCTGCTCCCAGAACCGGATTCTTCCTCCATTATTATCCCCCCCGTTCCCTTTGTGGACCATGCGGTGCCAGGTGGTGGCCCGGCTCGTGTTCTGCTTCCCCCGCAGGCGGCCTGTCAGTCTAGTGATGGATCCGGGTTCGGTCTTTGTGAGGGATACAGGATGCGTCGTCATGGAAACGGCTCTGACAGCCATTGCAGATGAAAAGGATTTCTATTTTCCCTCAAGGACGGTCTTCCCTGACAAGCTTGTTGTTCACCACTTGAGGTGGGTAGTATGATGGCAGCGTGTACCGCCATGTTCAGCACACAGGAGCCCATGTCTAGCCTGCCATGCATGGGGATAAACATGGAGAACGCATGGCCAGAGCTGCGGGTTTATCCTCGGCCATGTCTCTAAAATGAGAAGGTCCCCTCATTGTATGGAGAAGAAAGGGGTAAAGCTTTGTATATATATATATATATACACACACACACACACACACAAGTACAGGGGAGGGGGGGGGAGCTCAGGACCAGGAGCCAATCACTGAAGACAAAAACCAGCCAATAAACTACGAGGAGAACGGTGTGTTCTCACCAAATCCGGTACCAGATCTGGAGGAGTTTCTGCATATGCGTCTTAACACGTTCCGATCCCTTTTTAGCCTAAAATGAGCTTTCATGTGTAGTCCAGTGCGTTTGCATGCATTTTTTATGCGCTTACACGCGTTTCAGAGCACCTGCCGCAGTCTTTCCACATGCTCTGGAACTGAACGCTGCGGAGTGAACTGGAGCCCGAAATACCATTGGAATACATTGGACGCATTTTTTTGATCCGTTCTTGGACCCCATTCACACTGAGCGACATGGTGAATCGCGCGTTTTTTTTTCCACGCAAATCCCGTGCTGAGCGGCATTGAGCTACAACGCACGATATTGAGCGACAGTGCACATTTTATCGCGCTACGTAGCGCGTTTTTCGGGCGGGACTTCGTCGCTGCTACATTGGCCTGTAGCCGATCAACAGCGGTCTTGATGTGACATCATTCTTTTCCTTCCCTTTCGCAGTGCAAAAGTGACCCTTCTGTAGCGCGATGTCGCGCGACAAGGTCGTGCAATATCGCCGGTAGTGCGCCACACCAAAAAAGGGTCACGTACGAGCGACGAGCTACAGGCGACATTGAGATGTGAACAGCTCCATTCAAATGCATTGGACGAGCTACGGCTACGTAGTGCGATAGCGCGGGGAAATATGCGCAATTTTTTTTGGTGCGGAAATCGCGCGACAAACCGCTCAGTGTGAACGGGGTCTTAGGTCGGTTTCACACCATTTTCCGGACCAGATCTGGAACACAGTTTTTCAATGCATAGAGATGTCTATGGGACCCCAAACCGCGCGACAACCGGCCGAAAATAGCTCCTGCACCTTTCCGCGCAACGGGCGATTTCAGCCGCGCGACAAATCGAAAAAGGTGTGAGCAGCCTCCGCGCTTGGTGTGAACAAACCCGAAGAGGAAACTCTGACCTCTGGTTACTTGCCGGCGATGATACAAAGTTCAGACGTCAGAAGAAGGATGATATGCCAGTACGATATTGTTTGGATCAGCTTCAGCCAGTATTGGGGTGGCTTGAATGTTGCAGTGTAGACTACGGGGGATGGGGTGCCTATTTGGGGGAGACGGTGAGGGTCAGACAAGCCTTTGAGAGATGAGACGAGGACTATGGACAGCCAGATGGAGAAACGGGGAGACCGGTGTTCTATCAAAAGTTCCAACTAGTCGAGATCTCGGGTTGCGGTTTGGTTAGAAGGAAGAGGTCAGGCCGAGAAGGATGTGAAAGCGGCGGCCATATTGAGTGGGGCAACTCAGATGTAAAACGCGATGGGTCAGTGTGACCCGAGTTAATTTTCATACTTTATTGCTGTGTACTATGTGTATAGGGAAATGCCGCGGGTGGCGCACGTGCGGTACAGCCTTCTCACCCAAACCTCTTCCTTCTAACTTAACCCGGAAGTCAGATGGTTGGAGAACTCGAGGAGTTTGGAGTTTTCCACAGAACACCGGGATTTACAGATCACTAATATCTGAGTGACACAGACGTCAGCCAATAGTGTGAGAGGAGCAGAGGGGGTGATCTACCCCCATGTGGACATGCTGACAGTGACCAATCACGCTTCTCTGTCTGGCAATCCGATGGGCGTGTCTGGGTTATTCCATAAAGACACGGATGGGGGAGTTTGGGGGGGGGCGAGGAACGTGACGTGCCGCACAGAGTTCTGACCTCAACCCCATAGAACACCTTTGGGATGAATTAGAGGCGGAGACTGCGAGCCCCTCCCCCAACATCAGTACCTGACCTCACAAATGGTCCAACATTCCCATAGACACACTCCTAAACCTTGTGGACGCCTTCCCAGAAGAGGCAGAGCTGTTATAGCGGCAAAGGGCGGAGCCAACCCAACACTGAACCCTACGGGCTATGACTGGGATGCCATTAAAGTTCATGTGCGTGTAAAGGCGTCCCAATACTTTTGGCGGTAATATAGTGTATATGAGATGGTGGCAGTGCCCAGTTCTCTGCGCTAATCACCAGACACAGTGTTGCCGATTTGCCATGAAAACACGGTCCCCATGCTCCTTCCCGGTGAGGCGCAGACGGCAGCCTGTAAACACTTTGCAGCCAACAAGGAATACAAAAGGACAATATAAAATAAATGGCTAAAACCTCAACGTACAAAACTATCCCCGGGCTGTGCTCCTCATAGGTATTATTGGTGGTGGCGGTGGTGGTGGTTGGTGGGTGGTGGTGGTTGGTGGGTGGTGGTGGTGTATTTTTTGGGTGATATATTCATTATAATTGACATTGAAAGAAAATCCACCACACAGACGTGAGCTGAAAATTCCTTTACTGTTTCCATGGTGAACAGATCTGAAGACGTCACCTCGCTTCGTCACTTCCGATGTCTCTCAGGCGTTGGGCCCGTCACCGAGTCACTCTCCTTCCTTAAAAACAGACGGCGCCAGAAGGTCGCCGCTAAAAATATTCTCTCTCTGCCGCGCCATTACATTAAATCTACACAGCAAAATAGACCTAAAATACAATCTCATGGGGTGCTAGTTTTCATGGGCGATGCCCGGGGTGGGGTTGACGCTCAGGTCTCTGGTGAAGGCCGTGGTCACCCAATCTATATGTAACAGTTCTCGGTCATTTAATGTCCACTGAAGAGGAACAAAACAAATGCCAGAACCCTTGTATAAAAAAAGAAAAAAAATCACCTTATTTACAAATAAA